GTTTTATACAATCTGACTTCATCGAAACTTGTATGGAGGTCTGATACCATCCTATCTGTCACCAACAAAGTTTTTTGAATTCGTGCATTTGGTAGGTGGTGTCACTGATGTTAAGGAAAAGGCTAAATAACAGTAAACAAGGCAAAAATGAACAAATTATCATAAAATGCTTATTTTTTAGTTTGTGGTCATCTCCGTCATGGAGGATTAGTCTGCTGGAAATCGGAAGTGGACAAAACATCACGAGACGCGTATTTATACGTAATACCTGAAAAAAAGCGGGTGGGCGTTTGACCCCGACTGGGCGTTTAGCCCCGGTCTACCCTACAGCGCAATAAACTAATGGGGAATTGAGTCATCTCTCACACCATTGCTAAATATGGTGTGATTTAGCACCCAATGGGCCCCTCTTGCCTGAGTTGTGTCTCAAGATGCTACGAGTACTTTGTCTTTTTGATTAAATCTGAAGATCTGTTATTTTTTAGGACACAGTAACCGCGCTGGCCGCTCTGACTAATTACGGGGCTCTGTACTCCAAAACCAGGGACCTGAACATCGAGGTCAGCGCCGGGGCGTTTTCAAGAAATTTCTTGGTCAATGACAATAACGCCATGGTTCTTCAAATGGCCGAAGTGAGTAAATCTCTCTCATTGTTTTTTTGTGTATTTGTAATGAAGTTATGGTGACGATTTGGCAACTGTTATGCCCCAACCTCTAGATTCTTCGGTGGGTGTATTATTAATTTTATTTATCTGTGCTTATTATTATTTACGCGCACTCACACACACATACTTCAGACATATAATTCACATTTTTTAAGAAGTCACGAAATCACATCGCATTGTAAAACACTTCAGGAAATGAAATTGAATAAAAACAATTACAATTCTTCAACTTTAACATTAATGTCATAAATAGAAATTAGGAAGTCATTTTAAAGCCACACAAAGTCACACGTACGAGACATGTTATCTCGTAGAGAATGAAATAAAAATAATCGTCTTAAAATAATGTTAAGAAAGAGCCTGAATTTAACTGTTTATGATTCACTTTCAGCTTCCAGATGTTGCTAGTGAGGTACAGGTCTCTGCCAATGGACATGGCTCGGCCTTGCTTCAGGTGATTAGAATATTTGAAAAAAAATTAACAAAAAAAACATGTCACATAATAGTTATTCAGGTTGTATCATTCTTGTTTTCTTCTCTTAAGTAATTGTAAATGGCATTTAAGATAGCTCATGTGCGTAATAAAAAATCGCCATTTTATCTCCATCCCAGCGTATCGGGGTTTTTTTTTTTTTCATCATTTATATGTTTATTCATTCTTTGAATCCAGGTGACTGCAAGATACAACGTAAAGTCGGAAGCCAGAGAAAAATCGTTTATGCTCAATGTGACGATAGTAGAAGAAACTCAAAACTTCTTGAAACTCAGAATTTACATGAGGTATTTATGCTTCGATCAGTGTTTGTATTATTTTACTTCAGATATAACTTTAAAACTACACCATTGATGTTTTGAAATAAGTTTTTGGTTCTTTTCTTTATTTTGTGTTTTCAGTCAATTTGTCGTTCTTATATATCTACTTATTGTTTTGTATTTTATTTGTAATTGTGTTGTATTTATTTATTTATTGTAGTTATCTCAAGGGGAAAATGTCTGGAATGGCTTTGCTTCAAGTACAGGTTCCAGGAGGATTCGAGGCAGAACTTCAGTCACTGAAGGATAATACTCTTGTTAAAAAAGTGGAAATGAAAAAACGCATCGTCAATATTTACTTTGACTCGGTAAGATTTCAAATGATGTGTTTGTATAACCTTCTTGGTTTAAAATTTATTGCTGATCACGTCCAACTGAAAGCAATTCAACCGCTTCCAGTAAACAAAGAATTTTCAAGACAGTCGTGGTCATTGTCTCCTATAAATGTTATCCATTCCACATAAGAGTAGCTAAAAGTCTGGTTAATATATGCTATCTATTTCATACAATGCTGATGTTTTTATACGCCAACCCCCCCCCCCTCTCTCTCTCTCTCTCTGTCTCTCTCTCTCTCTCTCACGCACGCATACACACACACACACACACACACACACACACACACTACACAGCGATGTCTTAAATAAGTTTAATGACATCTAATTCCAGATTCCGGGGGATCCCATCGTACTTTACGTTGACGTCCCAATGTCCAGAAATGACTTGGTGGGAAAAACACAACCTGCTACCGTCAAGATCATAGATTACTACTCTCCTGGTACGATTGGATTCTGTTTTGGAATTCCTTATAATATTTAATTGATTGAATACTGAAGGATGGGAATAAGTTGAACTTAATGCCTTTGTTATAGTTGTATTTGGATTTTTTTAATGTAGTCTCTAAAAATCACATTTTATCACAAAAGTATAAGTTATTTGCATTATAAATCCTTGTCTAAATCCATATCTACTTATCATCCACTCACTAAGTATTATCACGTTTTATACATGTATATATAACGATTTATTTATTTCCTTGACACTCAGGTAACGAAGTGTTGACTACCTACCAGTCCAGCATTCTGAATCAATTAGAAGTTTGCGATCTTTGCGGTAAAGATTGCAAAATATGCTAAAGTAAGTACAAGAGGAAACACTTTTCTCTCTATAACGGACGTGTATTATGTTATTAAAATCGGTGTTCTTGATGTTATCAAATGTAGGATATTCTTCATCCTGGTACAGTAAATACAGACGTTATAAGCCTAGATTTTTGCAAGGTGATATCTTCTGAGAGACCTATTTAAAAAAGCTCTTCGTTCTATTTTAGGTTGAGAAAGAAATCACAGAATCTCGAATGGGCAACCCAGTGTTAAGTCCACCAAAGAAAAGACTTGAACCGTACAAAAGGCAGAATTGCTCCATAATAAAGACATACGTGATTTCTTGCAACACTTTTAAGTTAAAAGCTTAAGGACTTATTAACACGATGTTTAAAACATTATTTGCCATGCAGTTTTGACTCTTTCACTAATTGCTAAAAAAAACTAATTGCTAAAAAAAAATGATATTAGGAATGGATTTTCGCTTTGCTGGTTACTCTGCCAATGATGTTAATGGTTAACTGAAATATTCTGAAATCAATATCGAAGAAGAAAATGGAAGTAACAAATGAGCAGGCTCCATTGAGACTACCGATAAAATCATTCCATTTGCCGACTTATTAATCTTACTTTAATAAAATTTTATCTTAAGGCTTAACAAGACTGCAAATTAACATGCATCTGAGAAAAAGTTTATTCAACGCATAAAGACGCATTACACGACACCTTGATGACGCTCTCCAAACCCCATCCCCCCCAAAGCATCAGAGACACGAACCACGAACTCACCCTCCACCCCCTCCCCCACCCAAAAAATATTACATGCAAAACGTGACAAAACCAATCAATGCCCAATCCTTGTCCTGCATTCAATACAATAAAAATACACCCTTCGGTCTAATACTCATTAGAAGAATCCTTGATCCGCCAATGACAAAATACACGAAATGACCTAAAAACGCAAATGTTTTGCCTACACAAAGGATCACCCAACCTTTTACCTCGACTGCGGTTATGTTTTACAGTTTCCACGTTTTTTTATTTTCCTGACCGGCCAATAACAAATTTTATTGTTAAAGTTGCGCTTATTTTTCACCCTGTGGTAAGACGAACTGAGAGACCTAATTTCCGCATACAGGGTTGGAATAAAAGGCTTATTTTTAAAAAATCATTGCGGCAAGCATTTTTACTACAAACCACAGATATTCATATTTATTTGGTCTGAATATGTTTTGTCTCTTCTCGCAGCCAAGAACTTTTTTGTTATGCTAAAACATATCATACACGTGCATAAGGAAGTACTGTTAGATGGGGCTGTTTGGTTCTTTTAATAACTTTGTCTCACAAAGGTGCCTAATACACTGAAGACACGATCTTCACATTATAATAACCACAAATCATTGCGCAACTTGAACCTGAGCAGGAAATTGGTGCATCCAAGTAATAAAAAGATGTTTGCCATTTTTGTTATTCCCTTCTGAAATTTACTGAGAGATCCCTAATGCACAAGTATTTTTAGTGTGTTTGTGCGTGCATATGCGTGTGCACCTAAGTGCGTATGATTAGCGCGCTCAACATGTTGTTCTCTTAATTGTACCCTACATAAGCAAAGGGCCTAATATCAGATATTCAGTAGGAAAGTTCAGATCTAAATCATAACTGACCATAGCGGCATCATTAGAAAATAAAAAAGTTCATCTTTTGTATAAACCTATACCAACTGATATGTTCATGTACATTTACATCAGGTTACATTTGCAGTTTCAGTTTTCAACAGCATACTGCGATGTACTACTCGTAACCGGTAGTACACTGTATATTTTACATAGGACTGATAAATAAAATTTGTTGATTTATTATTTTTCAAAACAGTGACGGAGTTAGGTGGGTGTCAGGGGGTCCTGACCCCCCTTCCATTTCTGAAAAAATCACGCCAGTGGTCCCCTCTTCAAATTAGAATTTTGACTAAAAGCTAAATCATTGACTAAAGCTATATCATAGTTCTAGACCGTACCAAATGGCACTCTTCGCCCTCTAAAATACCAAATATTTTCGGGGTCCGCTGCCAGGGGGTAGGGGCGGGGGCAGTGTCGGCTTCGCATCTGCGGGTGTCATTCGTTAAAAACGGAGCCTCCCTTCAAATAATTCTGGATCCGCCCCTGCAAAGTTAGCCTACTAGGTCTACTCTGACTTGTGAAAATTTCAGCGGCTATTTGGATTATTTTCCCATTATCTACAGTTTTTATCTGACCAATAGTTTGAAATGTAAAGTACTGTCATGCGTAAAACCGATGTACCGGGGTAACAGGAATGTTTGTCCCCCATTACTGGTAGGCTACTGTGTGCAAAAACCCAAATACTCCGACTAACCATAACCTGTATTAATTATATGAGACCCCATTCCTAGGACTACAATTCCTGTCACACCGATATTTGAAACACTAACCCTAACTCTCTGAGAAGGGCTAAAGTCTGAAAGATTTGTGAAGGAAACACTTCTTATAAAGAAAATAGCTGAAAACACGCCTGGCATCAGAGATATCATCGCTTAAAAACGCAGACAAAACATCTCTGACCAAATACTTGTGGGTAGCACGACAAGTCTTACCAGTTGGACTAAACTGCTTGCATGACCTACCGTACCCCCGCAAACAAGCGTGACCCGCTGTTAATGCCCCAACGGAATAATAATAAAAAACATAGAACGCGATCCTAAGGCCAGGGGGTGCCACATCAGGCACCCACGCCGTCTCACGCCTGGGGAGAGGTACTACAGTGTACCACTACTCACCAATCACTTAATCACTTAGTACACCCTTAATAGTTACTCAAACACTATCAGTAATGTTTAACTCGTGACCAGTGGACATGGACGAACATTCCTTGGGTGCAGTAATTAGTTTGTACAGTCTTTGATTTATAGTTGATTTAAAGAGATCAAGGCCTACTGGTTGAGTCATTGGTTTCAACGTTTATTGGAAACCCTGGCACTACTACATTGACATGCGATCTCTCTTTTACATAACGCGTATGCTCAAGATGAATATATACCATATTGGGCAGCGATTTTATGCAGTTGAGATACATGTGCTGTATATTTAATTGTTTGAATGAAAATATAACGTCACGACCAAAACAATGATTTAAATGATATGATGATAACCCCCTTAAAAGATGAAAAAACAAGATAAAGGCGCTCGCAATAGTAAGGGGATATACAGATACCTTGTAAAATGCAACTTGGCCCATCATATGCATAAGCTGTTTTTGCTTAAACCTTTTTTGACTTAAAAAAAGTTTCGTGTATCGATCAACACAAGGCGCCTATATAGTGGATAGTTAAGCATCTTTTTAACTTTTAATATATTAGCTGTTATACATCTTTGAAATAAAAAAGTTAAGAAATATTACAACTATAGGACACAACTAAAGCTGACATAAAACACGCAACGACAGCGTCAATGCTAATTAGTTACGTGTACGTTATCGTAATTATAGGTCGTGGGGGATATCAAGATAAGAATACTGATACCTTAAGAAAGGAAGTGTATTGAGCTTTCTTTTTTCAAATACTGAACAAGAAAATGTATAGTTTTATTGTAAGTAAGTTTTACTGTGCGAATAATTTGAATAAATGTTCCATTAGAAACTTGTCCTTTTTTTAACACGAAGAACGTTGCCTCAGGCAAGTCCTACTAAGATCGAGGCATGCGCCAAAACTTCCTTCTAGACAGGATACTTAGAGATAAAGTGATGACG